ACTTTAAATAAGCTGAGTAATATTCCATTGTATAAATGTAGTACATTTTAATGATATTTACTCTGTTGGTAAACATGGACGTTTGTTTCAGTTTATGACAATAGTGAGTATGATTAAGTAAGTGTCTATAGGATGAAGTGTCCTTTGGGTATATGCTCAAGATTGTCTTGAGGTACATTTATTTCCAGCTTTCTGAGGCATCTCTACACTAATTTCCATAGTAACTGTATAAATTTTCACTCCCACAAACAATGGAGGAGTATTTCCCTTACTCTATATCCACACCAGCATATTTGTCATTTGTTTTATTGATCTTGGGTATTCTGTTAGGTGTAAGATACAGTCTCCAAGTGGTTGTGGTTTGAACATTTCTGTGTTTCTCAGCCATTTGAGTTTCCACCTTTGAGAATCCTCTATTTATATCTGTACATCGTTTGTTTCTTTTTAATATTGTTTGTTTGTTTACTTATTTATTAAATGTAGATTCTTTTCTCATGCAATACATCCCAGACCACAGTTTCCCCTCTTCCACACCTCCAGGATCCTCTTCACCTCCCCTTTTCCCCATATCCACTGCATCTTCATTTCTTTTAAGAAAAGAGCAGGCCTGCCAAAGACAACAACCAAACATGACAAAACAAGACACAATAAAACAAGGCAAAAAGCCCTCATATAGAGGATGAACAAGGCAATCTAATAGAATGAAAAGAATTCCGAGAGCAGACAAAAAAAAAAAAGCCAGAGACACAACTGCTCACACTGTTAGGTGTCCCACAAAAATATTAAGCTAACAGCTAAAACATATAAGTAGAGGACCTGGTGTAGACCTATGCAGGCCTCTTCAGAAGTGGATAGCCCAGAGACATATCGTGGGACCAAATACCACTTACAAAAATATTTTAAAAAAAATCAAGGAAATGATTGAAAATGATATTCTGCTATCCTTGTCCAGTTTTCATCAGAGAGGCTTCTTCTGGCTGCAAATAGGAATAGGTGCAGATACTCACAGCCAGACGTTATGCAGGAGACTCTAAATTGAAGGTCTGGATTGTTTCCTTCCCTCAGAGCTGAGGGAACCCTGAGGAAAAAAGAAGAGGAATGTTGGTAGGAATCTGAGGAGATGGAGGACTTCCGTCTATGTCTTCTAAACATAGCTTGAGCAACACACATGAACTCACAGGCAGTGATGGGGCATGCACAGGGTTTGCATGGGTCTAAACCAAATGGGGTCTTAGAGCTGAAAGGAGAAGTGTATACAAGTCCCTGTCCCTAACCATGAAGCTGTCTCCAGCTGATATTCACAAATTCACAAATGAAATTTTAGTTTTCTCCAAGAAAGTCTCACTTGGAAAACTTACTATTTTTAAGGGTAGGCCCCATGCCCAGCAGTAGATGGCTGACAGAAAATGAGCTTAGCAATTTTCGAGGTTCTTTGTCCCATAATGTTGTGTTAGGGATTTGTTTTTTTCTTCTTTCTCTCTCTGATTTCATATATATATATATATATATATATATATATATATATATATATATATATGATTTTCTCCACAGTTCCTTTGTATATATATTAGAGTTCCCAGTTTAGTGGTTTATGAAATTTCTGAATGTGTGAATGAGTGTGTCTCTGTATTTATGTTTCTTGTGTGTTTTATATAACATATTTTACAAGTCTGTTATACTTTCCTATTGATTGTTTCCATTCCAACTATAGACTGTGTGCTTTAGCCATTAAACCAGAGCTTCAGAGGTGTTTGGATTATTATAATGACATTTTATGAATTTGAGTATTCATAATGGCTTGAATTTCAAATACTCCTATGTAATAGAAGGAGACTCTGAAAATGAAAATAAAGTCAACATTTTTGACCCTTTCTCAACACAGACATGACCAATGATAGAAGTATTGGAATTTTCACTGATGCATTTAACTGCATGCTTACACAGCAGCGTCACTTAAGACCTTCCTCTTAAAAAAGGTAGAGGAGCTGCCAAGCTATTTCATAGCATCTATTTGTCTTATTGCTTCTGTTTCTATTGCAGACTTTTCAGAGGGTGTGTTTTTAGATATAATTTAGTATTGGAAGGTAGAGAGGAGACTTGTTCTTTGAATCCAGGGTGATGAGCTAGTATGACATCCATGGTGGTTTTTCAGGGTTTGAGAACCATCTACATTTGTGCTATGATTATTAGCAAACACTCAACAAATCACTGTCATTTCCCTCTAATATAACATGCAAGCACGGGTCTAGTCCACCTCTTAAATATTGTCAATAATTTTCAGACTCCATCCCTATGAGAATGTCATACATCTCTTCAAAAGGAGATTGAACATTGCTGCAGTAATAAACAAACAATCCACTTTCTGATTATTTTCAGCTAAAATGCTGAGAGCAGGACAATAGCCTTCCCCGGGAAGGAGCACACTGTTTGCTTTTTCAATAGCAAAAGGTTGTCTCTGAGAACATGCATATGAGTAACATTATACAGATTGAGTGGTTATATTTATGTATTTATACTCATGTGGATGTGCACACATGCACACAGTGCACTCTTCCAACAACAATTAAAGAAAAAGAGGTTATCTAATTTAAAAGCAAGGGGCTTGGGTACATGAGAATGTTTGTAAGAAGGAAGGGATGGGGAAAATAATATAATTATAATATAAAACATGTGAAATAAGTTCTTAAAGGCAGCAACCGGATTGGAATGTGTCCTCTCATAGGTTTGTTTTCTTCTAAGAGTATTTCATAAACGTCTTTCACAGAGACTGAGAATTGAGGGGTAGGATCTTGTTTTGTAGACTTGCTCTACTCCCATGAAGGGGCATTATTTTCCCTTCCTCAGCTCCTTCCCAATACCCTAAACACTCAACTTTATGTTCTCTCACTCAAAAGAAGAAGAAGAAGAAGAAGAAGAAGAAGAAGAAGAAGAAGAAGAAGAAGAAGAAGAAGAAGAGAGGGAAAGAATACCGATAAGACAAAATAACAAAACAAAAGAAAAAGTACACAAAAAGCATGAGACACCTTTTTGTGTAGGGAGGAAAGGCAGATTTCTCTAAGTCAGCTGAAAAATCACAGCTGGATACTGGATTTAATTGCAAACAGATAAACAGATTGGAAGGTGTTAAAGGAGTCAGTGGTAGGAAGAGACCTTATGGGAGCTGAACAGGAAAGGGTTTTAAAGAACCTGAGCCTTGAAAGTAGAAGGGGAACTGCTTATGAGCAGGAAGGGAACTGGGGGGGGCAGTTGGAGAGGGGTGGAGAGAATTTTAGAAAAAGAGAATAGTTACACGTGTGTATGAGAATATCATAATGAAGGCTATGGCTTTGTATGGTGATTTTAAAAATTGATAAAAATTATGTGTCCCAGAGGTTGTGTTTTTCATATTTTTATTTATATTTACAAAAAATAGGTGAAGTAAACAAAACAATACCACATTTTATGTTGTTCCATGATGCAAATTTTTCAATGTATTTAGATTAAATTAATTGTATATGATAGTACATAAGAGATACATCATTAGTTTTGTCAAAAATTATTCAAGCAGACTTGTTAGAAAATTTTAATTTTCAAATAGAAATCTCTGCAAACTAGATGTAAACATGTTATATATTGATTTTCTTACAACTAGTAGTATTTCTAGGATTCAGGACCATGAAAAAGATAGCATCAAGGCATGAAGTCAAGTTATTTATTCCTATGAAACCATTTAATTATGTCAAACTAATTGTTAATCATAACTATACAAAAGAAACATCTCAGTCTATACAAAACTATACAAAAGAAACATCTCACGCTTCGCATCAAAGGGCTCTTCAATCTTTGTTCTCTTACTTCATGTCACAAGATTCATCCTTCTAGATCAATTTTATCGTTAAATTGACTCAGATTTCCTAGTTATTTTCTATGACAGCATTCATTACATTATAGATTAATTTTATGCTGCGTGATAATCTCTATTTAGCAATGCAAAATATTAAACTGAAATAAAATATGTAGCAATTAACAACGACAAAGAATTAATTCAGAACTTATTGTAGCATTTACTTACAAAATACATTTAGTAAATAAACCAATCATGAGAAGAGAGATTTCTAAGCAAAGATAGAATTATGCATTATGGACTAAAGAAGCATTTTGCTCCTGGTGATTCAGAAGTTTAATTCTGAAAGATGAACATAAAGCAATTTGAATATTCACTATGATTTAAGTAGAAAAGGAGAGAAATGAGATGGGTCATCATGGATATACATGACATTAATTTTCATTTTTTTTTAGTCATGTCACAACAGCATGCTATTTATGTCTGTCTTTCCCTTCACCCCCTTGTTTTGTTTTTTAATTTTGTTTTCATGGTTATTTTATTTATTTAAATTTCAAATGTTATCCCCCTTCCCTCTTAAGCTCCCTATCCCCCTCCCCCATCACCCACCCATCCACCCATCCACCCATCCACTCCTGTCTCAGCACCCAAGCATTCCCCTAAGGTCATCAAGCCTCCACAGAACCAAGGGGCTCCCCTCCCATTGTTGCCAGATAAGGTAATCCTCTGCTATATATGCTGCTGGAGCCATGGGTCCCTCCGTGTTTACTCTTTGGTTGGTGGTTTAGTCCCTGGGAGCTTCTGGTGGTGGTGGGGTGGTCTGGTTGGTTGATATTGTTCTTCCTATGTGGTTGCATGCATCTGCATCTGTATTACTCAGGCTCTGGCAGAACCTTTCAGAGGGCAGCTTTATCAGCCTCCTGTCAGCAAGGACTTCTTGGAATCAACAACAGCATCTGGGTTGGTGTCTGCATATGGGATAAATTTCTAGGTGGGGCAGTCTCTGGATGGCCTTTCCTTCAATCTCTGCTCCCCTCTTTGTCCCTGTATTTCTTTTTGATAGGAGGAATTTTAGATTAATATTTTTGAGATGGGTGGATAGCCCCATCACTCAACTGGGGGTGTGCCTAACCTCTGGATATGTTCTCTATAGTTCTCTCTATCTATTGTTGAATTCTTATTTCACTGTTTGAGAATAACACAATCTGTGGAGCACCTGTTTGAAAGCATCCTTCACCTGCTGGTTCCTTAGAGTGTAAATGAAAGGGTTTAGTAAAGGGGCCACAGAAGTGTTGAGCACAGCTACACCTTTATTTAAAGTCACCCTCTCCTTGGCTGATGTTTTTATATACATGAAGATACAACTCCCATAAGTAATGGAGACAACAACCATGTGTGAGGAGCAGGTGGAAAAGGCCTTTTTCCGCTGTTGAGCTGAAGGGAATTTTAGGATGGTTTTGATGATGAGTGTGTAGGAGAGAATCACTAAGATCAAGGTGATGATAAGTGTCATGACAGCTACGACAAATGCAATCCATTCTATGAAACGTGTGTCTGTGCAAGACAGCTGCAGGACAGGAGAAGTGTCACACAGGAAGTGATCTACAGTTTTGGAAGCACAGAATACCAGTTTGAGTCCCAACATTAAAGGGGGGAATATGGATAAAAACCCAGTCACCCAGGAGCTGATAACTAGTATGTGGCATACTTTGCTATTCATGATGATGGGGTAGTGCAGTGGTCTGCAGATGGCTACATAGCGGTCATAGGACATGGCAGCCAAGAGGTAAAACTCAGTGATAAGTAGTAGAAAAAAGAAGAATAATTGAGCTACACAAGCATTGTAGGTAATTGTTTTGTCTCCAGTGAGAATGCTCATCAAGAATCGTGGAATACAGGCAGTTGTGAATGCAATTTCCAAGAACGAGAAATTCCGCAGAAAGAAGTACATTGGAGTCTTGAGACGAAGATCCAGCAGAGTGAGGAAGATAATTACTAAGTTCCCCATCAGGCTCAAGATGTAATTGAAAAACATAAACAGGAAAATCAGAATTTGAAGGTGAGGGTCATCAGTCAGTCCAAGCAAAATGAACACAATCTCTACTGACTGGTTTTTCATTTTTTTTTCCTTGTTCTATCAAGTCTATGGAAGAAAACAACAACAACATTATCAACAATATTATCAACAACATCATCAACAACCACAAAGTCAAAACCTAAACTTAAAAGTTGTTCATTTTTCACCCTAGAAAATTCTACTTTTACAAGTTTAAAGAGTAAACAAATATTTTAAAATATTATTTTAGACTTTATCCCATGTACAAGCCCTCTGCCTTTTCAGCATATTTCTTTGCCTGTACTAGCAGGAGGTATCTCAGTCACTTGAAATATAGCTCCTCAGTTTCATTAATGTTCATCCCTGCCCTTATTTTCCATACTTTATCCCAATGGATTGTCCGTGTGTGTGATATTTCAGAATTTCAAAATTTTGATATTTCATTTCAAAATTTCAAAATGATATGCCATAATAATGATAAAATGTTTGTAGGAGATTCTTGCACTCTCAGTTACCATGAAACTAATGATTTAAACGTACACATTTAGGAAATTTCTAAGAAAGAAACCTTCAAAAACTAAAATAAACTTAATACTGTAAAATGTATTCTAACACATTCAAACTAAAGTTTTAAACTGAGTTATCAGCTAAATCTGCTGCTATAAAAACTCTTCCTTAGGATGTTTTTCCATGACTGGCCACTATTTCATGATGGGTGTGAGAGGGGAGGAGTAGATCTTTATGAAAAAACATAATAACCTAAAAAGTGAAAATAGAGTTTCAAGTACATATGTAAAGTTTATTCATCTTTCATAAAGAGTTACATGAGACAAATTATCTATTATTTCTAGAGCATTTCATTCAATATTATTTCCTAATATATTCTACCATGTTTATAATCATATGTGTCAAAAGTAAAATGTGTATGTAAATAATTAGAATGGTCTCAGATTCTGAGATATGTTCTGTATACTAAGATGGCATGTACTTTCCCAATTAAACTTTTAAATTGTTAAGGAGAATAAAAATGACACATGAACAACAATATATACCTGTCTACTTGTTGGTAACTAGAATTGGTGTATTGAGTTTATTTCATTCAGTCAAATGAGGCTTAAACTAACTCATTCTTAGTAATTTCATTTTATGGCTAATGATACTATTCTCAGATATTTGACAAACATAGGTAAGATCAATTGTTTTTCTTATGAGGATTTCGAATTATTCATCTCCGGTAAATAACCAGATACCACTTCCTTTTCAATATAATTTTATTTGGAAAAGTTTGATGAAAGATTGGAGAGCAACACAGCCCCATTTTCACATTTTTTGTGGTTTAAAAATAAATGTGGCATATTGGTGTGAAATATACAGGAAATTGTTGTAGAAATAGAGACATATATATTTATCTTCACATATGTGAAGAAAATTAGGAATAAAAAGAATGGTAGAGTGTTAGGAAAGCCTAAAATGTTACTTTTTTAATTAATGTGAACTAAGGCAAGAAAAGTAATATTATGGAAGATAGTTTCTTAATATAAGTGTACAATATCAATGACCCATTTAAAACAGAGTATGGCTATGTTACTAATGGACATCCTGCTTATTTCCTAGTGTACAAAGGAAACAGCATAAACCAAGAGAGCATGATCAGAAGGAAAAAGATCCATAAAAAATCCATAGCAACTTTTAAATACAACACACGATAGGAATGAAATGAACACACATTTTTATATAGTATTTATAATATCATTAGATTACTGAAACATACCAAATATTTTTGTTTACTGAGAGATATACATATATATGTGTGTATGTGTATATATATCCATATATATGTATATATATAAACATATATACATATATACACAGACACACACGTACACACACACACACACACACACACACATCACCATTTCACCAACTTTATATTCCTAAAGTTAAATGAGGAGGAGAGGAGTTGGGATAGGGTTTCTAGAGAGGAAAAATGGGGAAAGGGGATGACCTCTGAAATGTAAATAAATAAAATATCAAATAAAAAACTATTCTGAGTTGAATTTTCTTCAGGAGACAAACTTAGGAAGGTTATTTTTCAAAAATCATAGTTTTAAAATTACTCTATTTTATATAAGATTTTATGTGAGATTCTACTCAAATTTTAATTTTAAGTCAGTTTGTAGAACATTTCTATTATGAAGAATTAGTGACATCTCTAGGGAAAGTTTCCTAGTAGGTACTTTTTAAATAATCATAATGAAATGACTTAAAAATGTTAACTAGAAAATGGTTTTTAAGTATATGATATGTTTTACATTGAGGATGATAAATAGAATAATTTGCATCCTGTGAAGCATGAATTATTCATTAGAAAATAGTATAAATATTAAATAAACATATAAAAGAAAGAATAATTGGAAATAAATGTCCTTATCTCTGTCATCTACAGGAATTTACAGAGGAAGGTATCTGAGCATTTGGATGTCTTAAAAATTGAAGACTTGAGGCAGAGCACTCTAGGCAGATGAAGCAGCCTTAGATTTTTTTAAAAAAAACTTTATGTGGCAAACCAGCTTTGGCTTGAAAAAATATTCATTCATTTCTAATATAACAATATGATTAATGATATACTTACTATGGAATTTCATTTGAAAATAGTGCTTTGTTCTTCAGCAATTACATATAACACAGATCTTCACAATATATACTGAAAGGTATATCATACAAAGCACACTAAGAGATGAGTGTTCACAGTCTAATGAATATAATTGCATTTAGTTTTATTGGATACTATGTTATATAAAATCATGTGCATGTTATAATACTATGTTATATAAAACATTATTCACTGTTGCATCATTGCTACATCTTACTTGAAATAGTTTACACTTACCTCTCAATAAAAACTTAAATGTCTAGCCTTTCATTGGTCTAACAGTTTTCCTAAACTGTATGTGTAGATTCTTGGTAAATATGCACCTCCATCTGTCAGCCAGCATCCTGGTAAATAACAAGTATGAATGGATCATCTCTACTCACCTCATTTTAAACATGGTTATATTTCATGTTATCTTAAAGATAACAGTTTTTACTAATTTATTTCTTGGTAGGAAGGTACATGAAATTACCATTTCTAGCACTTATGACATACAACCTACTTGTGTGAAGTATTGTAAATCTGGCTAAGTGTGACACACAGCACAATATGAAAATTCCCTGCCTCTGACGTGGTGGAGGATCTGTGCCTCTGCGTCTTATTGTAAAGCATCTAAGGACAATGAATTCTCAGGGTAACTGCAAACCAAGACCATGATTTATTTCCTCAGGGATGGCCAAATTTAGATACAGAATTATTTTCTATAGAAATAAAAATGTGTGCACAAACTTTCTTTTAAAGCTATGATTCTAGATACCTACAGAGTGCTGTTTTATTTATATCACATGCCCATCTTTTGAAATTACAATTATGCAGTTCTGGTTTAAAAATCAGAAAACTACAGAATATTTCAAGTGACTATAAAGAATATTTGAAGTGACTACAAAATTGATAATTTAAAATAGGAAAAGATAACCCATTGTAAACCAACTAGTTCTAATCTAAGTGTGTTATTCTATAAACATCCTGTTTCATCTGGCTCATTTGTTTAGCAATATGTTCCGTCAAACACACCACCGTATAAGTGCATAGAGGGATTTCAATCTTGGCTACAGCTGGATCCTTCCTTGTAAGGATGTACTATTCCTCTCTTAGAGATCAGTATATAGATTTTTTCCAATTTCAACAATTAGAATCATACAGTTATCTCTAAAATTGTGTACATGTATTTTATAGAACATACTTTAAAAACTTATATCCTATAAACAGTACTCATAGGATTATAAAATGAAAAATAAGAGGACATGAGGTTGAGACACATTTGGTTCGAGGGATATTCAGAAGGAACTGACTGGATAGTGAATATGCTCGAAATACATTTTATACTTGTATTCATATAGAATACACAAACTACATTTTAAAATCCCCTAGGTTTTAACAACATTAGGATGAATTCCTCAAATTTAATTTTCTGAGTCAAAAGTGAAACATATGCTACTGTAAACAAAATTTCTCTGTGAGATTCAAGCAATTTCCAATAGCCATTGTTTCTCAATGACAGAGTGGGCTTTCTCTTGTGTTGTTTCTCTATTTGAAATGTATTTATAGGAGTTGAAAGGATGGCTCAGTAGCTAATAATAGTTAAGACAAGGTACAATTAGGTTCTTCTCTTCCAGAGGATCTGAATTGTGTTCCTAGAATACGCTTTGCAGGGCTCACAACTCCCTGTAACTTGAGATCCTCAGGATTGGCATTTCTCCTGGCCTCCAGAGGTACTACATTTGCAGGCACAATGCCACATAGAGAAACAGACATATATGTAATCAAAGTGCATGCTTAGGTTATACATATCTCCAGAATAACTATGTGACTCCTCCCTACTCTCCTACAATCTTTGTTTCTTTTGCAATGTGGCATTTTCTTTGGAATCTGACTTATTGTTTTATATGATGAATTCCATTTCTATGTACTTTTCTGAAATTGACATGATTTTGTTCTTTAAGGGCCTGAAAATTACTTATGTTTATCCACTACAGTTTCTCAAAACATGTCCCTGTTCAGAGTCATTTAGGCTGACTCCATAGCATAGATATTGTGAAAAGTGCTGCAAAAAACCATGGCTATTCACTCATATCTTGTATAGTGACTGACACCTATACTTTGGAGTGGTTTATCTGGTAAACATTATATCTATATTTTTTGTGATGCTTATTCACATAGTGAGTGTACTAATTTACATTCTTACCAGTAATATATCAGAGTTTTTTCACCTTGCATCCTTCCTTACCAGCATTCATTATTTTTAAATATAAGATTTTGTTTCACACTGACATAACAATTATATGCTAGAACAAGGGAAAAAAGAAAAGAAGAACAAAATTAACACAAGGAACATCTGAAACAGCAGGAGGAAAAAGAAGGAAAAACATTGCAAAATACTGGCATAGTTAAGGATCCTCTGAATACATTCCTT